TTTTTTTTTTTTTTTTTGGGGGGGGGGGGTAGGCTTTTTGGAGATTAGGGTTATCTTGTCGGAAAAGGTGGATTCAATCAGGGGATACCTTCACTGATCGTCGATGTTGTTGCGGTAGATGATACTTGAATCCTGAAGGTAGGTATTTAAATCCCTAAACCCTAAACCCTACACATTAACCTCAAGATCCTAGACCCTAAGCCAGAAGCCGTACACCCTCTGTTTCATTGAACCTGAAATCTCACATCTTTAGGGTTTCGGATTTCTGAAATCTCGCTGCGTAAAGTGCTTTCAATCAAAGCAGCCTATCCCAAAAGGTCCAAAGTACCGATATAGGATAATGTAGGGTTTCTATACTAGGAATTGCCATTATGATTTAGGGAAGTATCCCCCATAACAGTACGTAGGACCGTTTGGGTATTGGAGTCGATCACTCCAGCTCAGAGCCTCGGCGTCGACGCCACCGACGCAAGGCAAAGGCCACTGTTTAGGGTTTAGGGTTTAGGTTGTGAGTTGTGAGCTATGCCAGGTTGTGTGTCACTCCAGGTTTCGCCGAGTGACGCCAGCGATCATCGGCGAGTTGTGAGTTATGAGCACCCTAAACCCTAAACCCTAAATTTCAAACCCAAAAACCCTAAACCCTAAACCCTAAACCCTAAACCCTAAACCCTAAACCCTAAAACTTGTCCTGTGTCGCTCCAGGAGTCCACTGGTGCCGCAGAAGTGCCGTCCATGGAGGCCAGGGGCCAGCGGCACTGACCGGTACTGTGTTCGCTTGTTGACACAGCCTGCTTGGAGGCCCAGGGGACTTAGTAAGTCGGTTATAAGTGGCTTATTAAAAGGGATAACTCCATTTAGGGTACTTATAACTCTACTTATAACCTACTTACTAAGTCCCCTGGACCTCCAAGTGGTGTTGCCAAGGAGTCGCCGACCAACAGTGTTGATGCGGCCTTGGGTGAATCTCATGGAGCGAGCTATCTCCCTCGCAGCGTTGCAGGTTGCTGTGTTGGAAACAACATCGGAATGCCAAACGCGCCTGGAGGATCGCCTCCACTGTGTGGCTGAGGCATTCCTGCACATCCTCAGGGCGCCGCTTGGAACGACCGACGCCACCACGCATGGAGATGTGAAGAACATGAGAATGGACGAGATGTTGACGTGGAACTCCCAGGGGTCCCCAAATTCCCAAATCCTTTTAAAGCCTATAATTGCTGAACCCCAAACCCTAAACCCCAAAACCGAAACCTTAAACCCTAAGACCCTAAACCCTGAAACCCTACGCCCTTAGCCCTAAAGACCCTAAACCCTAAAACCCCCTCAAGCACTAACGCCCTAAACCCTAGTAACCCTAAACCCTGACACACTAAACCCTAAAACCCTACAGCCCTACACCCCTTAACCCCCTGATACCCTAACCCCTAACACCCTAAACCTAAAACCCTAAACCCTAAAACCCCGTGTAACTCTAAACCCTGACACACTAAACACACTAAATCCTAAAACCCTGCAGCCCTACACCCGTAAACCCCCTGATACCCTAACCCCTAACACCCCAAATCCTAACACTCTAAACCCTAAAGCCCTAAACCCTAAAACCCTAAAACCCTAAACCCTAAACCCTAAACCCTAAACCCTAAACCCTAAACCCTATAAACCCTAAACCCCCTGTAACCCTAAAACCCGAAGCCGCGAGGTCTCTTCGCATCGAAGCAGCCCGAGGACTTAGACTTGAACAGGCACCTGACGCTTGTGTTTCTTTCGTTTAGGGTTTCAGGGTTTAGGGTTTAGGGTTTAGGGTTTAGTTCTTCTTTTGTTGTGTGTTTGTGTGATTGTTGTGGCTTTGTGGTATGTGTTCTTGTTGGTTCGGTCTTGTACTGGGGTGGGCTGGGATACGGCCAGTGCATGCTCCGAACACTACTTGGTTGCCACCTGCATGCTTATATTGTATCAGCACGTTGTTGCTTCTTTCCAGTGTGTGAATTTGTTGCAGCTGTCTGTTCCAGGCTTTAGCCTCGCTGCAGACAAATTTGATTCGCAGGGTTTGCTTTGCTCCTGCCTTCTTTAGCTGCAATGCCGTGGACACTCAATGTCCAATCGGCCCCGCCGCTGCCACGCGGGGGCGTGCCCGTGCCCAAACAACGTTGTAGCAGTGTGCGCTTGCCCTCTGGAGGTATCGCTGTGCCTCCACCTCGGGTGGTGTGCTGCCCTTATGGCGCCGCTATACCTCACCAAAATTCGCTTGTTCCAAGCTGCGCCCCACCTGCCGCCACAAGATATGGGCCAAACCACAGCTCCGAGGCATCTTCTCTGAGGCAGGGTTGTTCTGTAATTTGTTTGAAGGATTTCGAAGACTCAGAGCGCAAGAGATTGGCTTCCATCTGGGCGGGCTTTGCCGAATCCTTATTGCCTTACAGCGGGATGGAAAGTGCTGCTGGGCGATTTATTCCTTGATAAGTCGCCGGCTACTTTACGTCGGCATTTGTGTGGCTGGCGGGCATGGCTCAACTTCTGCCTCAGCGTGGGCTGGTGCGCCGGAAACCCAAAGTTAGGCCAGCTGATTGACTTCTTGGAGAGCTTGGCGGAAGATGCGAAAGTGGACAGAGGGAAACATCGAGTTCGCTCTGCCATGAGCGTGCTCACCGCCCTCAGCTTCGCAGCGTATAAGTTCCAGCTCTCCTCGCTGAAGACGTGCCTGTCCAATCCCTTGGTGGAAGCCTGGCGGAAAGCAGACAAGTGGTCCAGGACCCCGCCCCGAGAAGCCGTTCCACTTCCATTGCGCGTAGTTAGGAAGCTAGAGGAAGCGCTTAGAGCTGAATGCGGCGAAGATGCCTGGATATTGTGTTGCATACTACTCATGGTGTGGTGTAGCTTGAGGTGGTCAGATTGTCAGCGTGTTCAGGTGGATACAATCAACAAGTCTGAGGACATTATCCGAGGCTGGTGTTGGCGCACCAAGTCTTGTCCGTGGGGCATGGCCTGGGGCTGCGTGATGGGCGGCGCGTCGAAGTCTGATTGGGGCTCCTTCTTTTATTCGGGCTTGCAAAGTCTCCGACCAAAGCAGGACTTCCTGGTCGCTGCATCTTCAGGTAAGCCACTTACATATTGTGCTATGTTGGGACATTTCTGTCGCATTCTTTGGACTTACGGGGGTGTGTCGCGAGACCAGGCTGCCATGTTCTCGTTGCACAGCTGTAAGTGCACACTTCTGAGCTGGGCCAACCAGCTTCTCTTGGATGATGCTACGCGAGAGAAACAAGGCCACCACGTGCTCCCCACTATGTCCAAGGCAGTCCCCAAATACGGCCGGGATGACATCGTGGGGCAAATCAGATGCCAGCGCGAGGTGTTAGCCGCAATTCGCAAGGGCTGGATTCCTTGTACCCCGTTGAATCGTGGTGTGCAGTCCCTGCCTGAGAAGTTGGACACATCGCCAACGCCTACGTGTGATGAAGCCAGCGACACGGAGCCGGAGTCAGAGGGTGAAGAAGTCCTGGCGTCCAGCCAGTCCGACTCCGGCTCGGAGGACTCAGAGGATCAGTCCCCGATTATTGCGTTCGATGGGCCTTGGATGATTAATATTGCAACAGGGTGGTATCACAAAGCCATACACGACCTTACGGGCACGTCGTGGAGGCCGGCCTGTCGAGCTCTCAGCAATGCCAAAGCCAATTTCGAGCTGCGGGAGGCAAACCCATGCTTCCAAGGCTGGACGCCTTGCGCACATAGTGCTTGTAAGTCCGCGTGCGGCTAGGTTTGGCGGGCCCAAGTTCGCCCCTACAGACGACAGAATGTCTGTGTACGAGCTGGGGTATTATAATTGGCCCGCTGGCCGGTTAAGGTCCGTGTGATCTGTGTCGCGGCCTGGGGTGCCCGTTTAGCTATTGTGGTGGTGCTTCCAGTGCTGGTTAAAGGCCCGTGCGGCCTGTGCTCATGGGAGGAATTATAGGTCTGTGTGACCGGTGTGTTCTTGGCCACGTGGCCCTGTATCTTCTGGGCTTCACAGCTGAGGGCTGTCTTGTGGCACTTATATATATTTCTATATGTATATATATTTTTTTCCTCGGACCGCTCCAAGCTACTTGCAGTAAGACTTCGTGTGCGCTTGTGCGTCGTCAACTGCGTGTGTTTGTGTTCGCTCCTTTGCTTTCTTCTGTTTGCAATGCCGCCGTCCGCCAGCTGGTCAAAACAGTTGCAGGAGGCAGGCATGCCTGAGGAAGCCGCCAACGTCGTTGCTCTTGCCTATGCCTCTGACCAGCTGTTCTACCACGCTTTTCGTAATGAAGACCGCCTGGACAGCTACGCAAAATCCGTCTTGGTGAAAACCAAAGCCATCAGCCAGGATGATACGGAGTGGGATATACACCCGACAGTGGCAGCCCTCCGTGCAACCTGGAGAAGCTTGAAAAGCACCATTTCTGCGTCAGTGCCCCCTCCTGCCGCGGAAAGAGCTGCTACGGACTGTACGGCCCTGATGCCTTTTCTGCAAGCTTCCTCACGTATGTCTTCGGGAGATCGTGCAAAGCTGGTGGAGAAGTATGAGAATGACTATCCAGGAGTAGGTGTGTGCCCGATGGTTCTCCCCAGCCTCCAGTACTTGCAGCGCATCAAATCTCAGTGCAGCAGCCAGTCATGGGAATGGACTCCGTGGCGCAAAATCATCAGTGAAGCGGCTGCGGTAAAGCGCACGACAAGAAAAAGCAGAGCAAACCCTCAGATGCGTGGGAGTATGTCGCTCAGTGCGCCGGGTGGGGTCAGGACGAGCTGGAGGATGTGAGTGCGTCACCCTTCAAAGTTGAGAAGTTGTTATCAGTTCGAGGACATGCATACAGTATGTTGGGTTGCGGGCATCCACACTCTTGGCATGAATACATCTCCCAGTTCGTCGGAGGGCTACAGAATGCCAAATGTGAAAGAAGGATCGCCTGGCAATGGGGGAGTTCTTCAAGCTGCTCTTTAAAGGTCACAAGGCTGACGACGCAGTCCACACTGTTGTGAAGGAGCGCGATGTTCTTCGTCGTCTGCTGTTCTGCCCGTCGAAAGCTCCCAAGGAGAGCAAAGGGGCCGGCAAAGGCAAGGAGCGCGAACCGCTCCTGCGCAAAAATGGGTGCTTGAGTGTGTGTTGCTTCCGCGCATGCTTGCTGCCATGTAGTGTTTGTGTTTCCGTTGTTTTTGTGTGTTTTGGTTTCGTGTTTTTTGTTTGTGGCATTTCAAAAGTTCAGGGTTATTTAGGGCTTAGGGCCTGTAACTTCGTTTCGGGCTTCGGATCTTTAGCCTCGGGGCTTCTAAGGTACAGGGGGTCCCGTTTCGGCATGAAAACCTCGGGGTTCTCAAAAGGCTCTTGATATAGAAGCCGAAAAAACGTTAGGGTTTAGGGTTTAGGGTTTGTATAGAAGCCGAAAACATCTTAGGGTTTAGGGTTTAGGGTTGATATAGAAGCAGAAACAGTCAATTAGCTATGTCATTCTTTAGGGCTCCTTCTTTCTTTTCTACCATACAGGAGCCCAAGACCCTGTTCTAATTATGACGGCTCCTACATGTATTCGGCTGCGGCTTACCGGGTTGATTTACATTAGCCCCCCCCGGGCCTGAGGGGTTTAGGGTTGTAGGGTTTAGGGTTTAGGGCTTAGGGCTTTTAGGGTTTAGTGCTTCAGGGTTTAGGGTTTTAGGGTTTAGGGTTGAGGGCTTTAGGGTTTTAGAGTTCAGGGTTTAGGGTCCACCTTGATTGAACCCCGAACCCTTAATCGAAAAAACCCGAAGAGTCCCGCAGCGTCGGCCCCGAAAACCCTAGACCCCAGACCCTAAAGCCCTAAAACCCTCAACCCTAAACCCTCAAACCCTAAAGCCCTAAAGCCCTCAACCTAAACTCCAAAAATCTAAATCTGGCATGCCGAATTCCGTAGAACCTGAAGACCCAAAAGTTAAAAACCTGGTTTCATGTCTGGGAGCTGTGTAAGGTGTGTAAAGTTCCCAGAGAACCCAACCCCCTTAATTAAGGAATATACTTTGAATAAACATATTCAGGCCCCTTTCATTTAAGTTATATTCCTTAATTAAGGAGTATTGGGTGTTCTCTGGGTTTAAGGTTAAGGGTTGAGGGTTTAGGGCTTAGGGAGCACAGGGGTGAGCTCTTCTTTTCAGAGCGCGGAGATGAAGATCATCACATCCCATGCCAGGGGGCTTTAGAGATTACATGATTCGGCCTTCCATCTGGCTGGTTCAGGGTTTCGGGTTCAGGGTTTAGGGTTTAGGGTTTAGGGCTGCTTAGGCCCAGAATCCCGTGCCAGAAGCTCTTCCCCTCCCCCACCACTCCCGCCTACCACTGCCTCTCTTCGCCTGCTCAGCCGCACCCATGCCCTTCCCAGCCCACCCCACCACCACCACTTCCGCAGCTCATTCTTTTTGCTAGAGCTTTCGGACAAGCACCTGAAGTGAGAGGTGGCATCTAAGCCATCTAAGCCCAAAGCCCGAGTTACCGGCGTTGCGGCATATGAGTTGAGCGTAAGGAAGAGGCTCAGGGTTTTCAGGTGTATGGGCTTAGGGTTCTAGGGTTTAGGGGTCTAGGGTTTAGGGTTTAGGGTTTAGGTGTATGGGCTTAGGGCTCTAAGTAGAATTAAAACAATTCCGTTTCATGGTGAGGAAGCAATCGCTGCTGCTGATGAACAAACTCCTCCAACGCCTTCCCACTAAGGGTCGTATCAGGGCTAGTATCAACAATTGTTCTAGAGTCCACTGGTATTCCTTTTTTCGTTAGGGACAATGCAGGAGTTTGCTCATCAACGGTAGGCTAACGCCGTCACCTTTGAGGGGTTTCGGGACTTTACCAATATGCATTTAGCAATGACATACCTGCGCGTCAAGAGAAGTCCCCTAGACCAAGAGAGACTCCCAAACTGTCCATTAGAGCGCTGAGGGGCATTCCTGGAGTAGCGGGTGTTGGACGTTTTGGCTACGTCATGTACGACTTGCAAACCTAGGCCCTTAGATCCTAAACCCTAAACCCTAAATCCTACATCCCTAAACCCCTAAACC